CGTTATTCACAATAATATTTCATTATCGCCAAACCGTGTTTAACCTTCACTAGTCTATTAATACTCATTAGGCTGAATCACCTGTCATCGCCGGCATTGGCAAACGAACAACAGCGCGCATCAATCCCGTGGCTGTTGTTCCAACATCCGAAAAACGGTTCAAGAAATGAAAAATTATCGTTTCGCATTGCACACTCGCTTTAGCTCAGCACTCATTCCATTTATTCGGCTCAAACACAAGCACAAAGCATCGACAATAAGCCAATGCCTTTAAATTATCCTTCACGGAATGAGCTAGTTAAACGGCGCGAAAGGCGATTACATCCGCTGCAAGTCTTCCAGAGAGAGAGAGAGGAGAGAGAGAGAGAGAGAGAGAGAGAGAGAGAGAGAGAAACAAAATATATCCGAAAACAGTCTAGACAATTTCTCGTTTTTCGACAATTTGCCTAAATGCTGTTTCGCTTCGGTGCCACGTTCGCTCGTCTTATTATAGAATCGTCGTTGAACTGGTCGTTGCATTTTGTGTGTATAGTTGTGGCTTTTCGAGCACAGGCATTTCTACTGGAAATTTTGGAGCAGTAAATAACAATTTTTGCAAACATCTAACTGAAATTCTCTAATCGTTGAGGCTATTTTTATTATAAGAATACGCCATTCGGAACGGCGGTTGAATGGCAACAGCGGAGAGAGAGAGAGAGAAAAAGAGTACCAGCAATAATAAAAATAAAATACATCATAATAAATTACCTAAAGACATTTATTTCAATTTCATTCGAAGAACATTAGCGATTACCAGTGGCAACTGGTACAAATAAAATAACAGCCATTTCAGTGGGCTGTGTGTGCGCGCGACAGAGATGGTTTGGGATTGGAAGCATGTCTGTATTTAGGCTTCGATGCAATGGCATTTGGCTTAGGCGTTAATAATATGAAAGCGTTTCTCTTTCATTCGGCGTACGATTCTTTTTTCTTCTTCTTACTCTTCTCGCTGCGTGTCTCTGCCGCTGGTTCGTTCTCATTTTCACATCTCTGTGTCTTTGGTGTTTCCATTTTTCGGCAAAATTCGAAACACGATCCGCATCCGTGCTCGCATACATTCACACAGATGCCTCTCCATTCCATGCTCTCATCAATTTCGGAGGGGGGAGGTAGAGACGTCGTGTACACAACAACAACAAAAGCGCCGACTGCTTCTCAATTCGACACTCTCAGCAGAATGCCTGAAAATAGCAGAAAAAATACGCAGCCCAACAACGGAGCGCTCGCCATTCGTCCATAATGAGTTTTTAACAGTCATTTGTAAACATTGTACACGTGACTTTCAGCAATAATATTCTATCTTCCATTCGACACATAATTTTCATTTCTATTTCTCTTCGCCGATAGAACTGAGCGAAAAGAAGCCTGCAAACGCTCGAGAGTAAATTCACTGTTTGTCGGCTCGCTGTGTGTGTGTGTGTGTGTGTGTTCGTGCCTTTGTTCATTACTTTCTGCGTCCTTCATCACAATCAATGCTCGTTCTTTCTCTCTCTCTCTCTCTCTCTCTCTCTCTCTCTCTCTCCCTCTCTGTTTTTCTTCTTCACACGCTTCCATTCTCCCTCGCTGTATTCCACTCCCGTCTGAATTGTCAACTTATAGCTATAACTATGTTTATTTACAGGTTCCATTCATTTCACCAGCAACTCATTCGCATTCAGAGTTTTCTATTATGGGCCGGTTGGCCGTTCGGAAAATTTCATTTCTATTATTATTTGCTTATCGATCGCTATATATTTCATGCTTTGAATATTTTCACTCGGGGGATATGCTTATTCGTGCCGTACATGCCACTGGTCAAACTGGAATAAATCGCTTGTACAAAACGATGGAATGTGGTAGTTCTCACTGGTTTTCCGCACTTTTTTTTCCATTTGTAAACGCAATTTCATTTCACATCGAGACTTCGAAGTTGAAGCCTCTTTTCAATTCCCAATCGCACACCAGGTCAACACAATGTGCTCGGCTATCCCGGGTCTGGTTTCCAATTAGATGCATTGCCAATGATTTAATTGAAGAAAATCAATTTTCCTCATATAATCGCTTGAGAGACGAATTGAATGCTAGCGATTAGCCGTTGTGAGTGCGATCCAGTGATGATGCACAAACACTCCACCAAAAGAACGGCTTCAAACTCAGGATAATAATACATGCATACAAAAAAAAATATTTTTATTGTTATTGATGGCATTATTATCTCCATAGTTCCTGTGTTATGCGGCACACTCTGCACAAATGCTGTTCCGTATATTGCGGTGCTGTGATTGAAATTACTTTTGTCGGCTTACATTACATGATCTGTGTGTTGCCACGATGACATCACCTACGCACACTTTGGTCTCTTTCGAGTGCGAATGGCAAAGAAGAGAATATATAAGAAAAGAGAACGGGAATTTAAATATTATCGAATTTTCCCTTGTAATCTATCGTTTCATCGAATGACATTATGCCATGATCCCAATAGAATGTGATACACTCCAACTGTGTGCCGCAGACTCATCACACACCCGACGACGATGACGACAACGACGTTCGGTGAGAATACGCGCATATCAAAACAGCCAGCATACACATACCCCCAATGCACGGCACGGCACGGCAAGGCAACGCAGAGAAAAATAATATGGAATTTCGTATTTATGGAAATATTATGTTTATGAGTTTTTCTATATGCATTGCATATCGATTGATCGATTTCCTCGAGCGATCGTCGACACAACAACGAAATCGACTATTTTTGGTGCAAACATTTTCATTTTCCAACCTCAGCATTTTTTTCATATGCATTCACTTTTCGATGCCAAAAAAAAAATAAATTATTGAAGCACACCACAAATAGAACGCTACTTTAGTCCAACACATCAGCAGCAGCATGGTTCAAAGGCACTGAAATTAAAATAAAACATGCTCGGAGAATACGCAATTAAAGTGAAAAATGAAACCGAATAATTGTTTGGAAAGTGAATTTTTTTTCCGGTTCATTTTTGCGGAGCATCTCATCGAATTCTTTTCAACCCAGAATAATTTGGCGTTGCTCAAAAGCGCTAGAGTCGCTTTTTTGTATACAATTTTTTCCTCTCCCTCTCTCACAAACATGTTTCTATTGAATATAAAATTCAAACAAATATCGGTTGAAATACAGTCCTGCTTCCATAATTCCAATTACACATGAGTCGAAAACGAGTACACACACATACCAAAAAAAAAATTCACAGAAGCATTGCAAAATATGGCAAAAGCGGTGGCTATGATTCCGAGGATATTTCCCATTTTTTTTCTAGCGTCGTCTTTGCTTTTGTATTTATTTAAATTTGTGTGAGCATTGGATTCGTTTATAGATTGCATAGCATCACATAGAGAAATGGAAGGAGAGGCAGATAGAGAGAACGTTGGGCAAGTATATACCTTGTGCCGAATGATTTGGTATTGTTTATGGTTATCTCATACTGAATAATGTCTACAACATCAGTACAAAATTTTATCTATATGGAAATCATGTAGTTGCTGGTGTGTTCTTTGGCCGTCTTCTATTTTGCAATGGCTTGAAAACACGGCGTATCAACCGAAAACAATATTCATTGCTGACTACATGCGGCGACTTATCGACTGAAAGTGAACACGGGTGTAAAAGAGAAGGCAAAGGAAAGAGAGAGGGAGTGAGCAAGCCACAACGGCAGTAGCAGCAGCATTCGGTCTTCGCACACCGAAAGTATAGAGTAAAATTGAACAACTTTATTTATATGGCAATTTCAGTTTTATAAAATATTCTCTTGTGTTTCATTCGCAATTCACTGTTTGCTCCACAAATCCATTCAGGAGCCGTAAATAAACGAGGTTAAAATTCATATTTAGAAAAAGCATGAGAGAGAGAGAGAGAGAGAGAGAGAACAAGCATCCAAATTGGAAGAAATATGTATGAATCTTTGATGTTAAAATCGACAGCATTCAAGTAGATGCAGATGCAAATGTAGACAAATGACGCATGCTATTTTGCTCCAAGATCAAAGTCCTTCTCTCTCTCTCTCTCTCTCTCTCTCTCTCTCTAAATGCGCTCTACTCAAGGGGAGAGACACCAACGCTAGTTTCACTAATTTATTCTATTGTTTCCTAATGTGTGCTATTTTTGCTAGTTTCCCACAATAAAAGTGCTATTTTTTACTAATATTTCCTATGTGCAACGTGACAGTTTGACAGTTCACGTACAAGTAACACTCATCAAGTTATTGTTGTATGCTTGGAAAGAAAGCAAAACAAATATATTTTGGCAATTTTTCTAATGTTATTTCATAGAAATGAACAAATTGTTCCATTTAATTTCATAAAACAACTCGAAAACTTTGTTTTAAACGGTTAAAAACAGTAAATAACAAATCGCTATTTCTTCAATAATATTGCTATTTTTTGCTATTTTTGCTATTTTCCTCTAGTATTTATATGAACTTCAAAAAAATAGCTAATGGTGTCTCTCCCCATGGCTCTACTTGTTCCATTGTTGTTGCTGTTGTTCAAATGGAGAACAATTTCGGTGCAATTTTTCAATTTGACTGTGCGATGCAAATTCGTAATCAGTATGAATAGCCGAGCATATTTTTGTGAAAAGTACCATGTGTACATTCTTCTTGAGGTATATTCTAATCTGTTTGTACCACCTAGTGGATGGTTGTACAAATAGCATATTGCAGAACATAGTTATACTTTGATATACGCACACACAGAGTTGAATCGTTTCAACATCGAGACTCAATAGAAAAAAACAGCAAACTGCATTTTGGAGCATGAGAGAGGGAGAGAGAGAGAGAGAGAGAAACAACCAAAAAAGAGAAAGAAGAATAATCGAAAAATATTGTTCATTCTACATGAAGAAGAATAGCATTTGAAGCGATTGTTGAGTAGTTGTAGTGTTATTGTACTGATTTGTAATGCCATAATGATACTAAAACGATTACTTTTCTGTCTATTTTCAGATATATATATATATATACGACGCGGTGCACTATCCATGGCATGCAGAGGACATAGAGGTGGTAACCAATTTGTGTGATCGCTATGCGAAAAGGATATGTGTTGAAAAATAAATTATCACTTGAAAATAAATCGAAACGCTGGTGCTTATGACATGAAAAACATTGCATTAAATATACTCTGGAAAAGGAAAAAATTAAACGAAAAAAGGGAAAGTGAAGTGAGCGGTGATTGGGTGTGCTAATATCATATAACCAACACATATAAATAAATGAACGACGGTATAAGAAGAGAATAAGAAACGAAACGACGTTCGCGTGCTCTCAAACTCAAGCAGATTGGGAAGGATGAAGAGATTCCTTAATCGAAACTCAAGTGTATAAAAATTTATTCAAGTTGTAGCATCCACTAGGTGGTGACACGAGGAAAATTGCATTGTCACCAGTTCACTTGTTCCCACCGAACAAAGAATAGAACGGCGGCAACGGACGACAAACGACAACGACGCCACAACCATATCGCTTATCTCTCGAAGCATTCATGTAAAATGATAATTATTGATTTTGGCGGCAGAATATTCAACTTGCACTCATCCGAATAGAATAGAAACGGCTTGAAAAGAGACCTCCAAGTCAAATACCAAGCATATTGTGTATATTTACGTCCCGAGAATTGAGAAAAATCGACTTCCCGTTTCGGAATTTTCATTTCGTTGAGGGCAGAGAAAGAGAGAGAGAGAGAGAGAGAGAGAGAGAGAGAGAGAGAGAGAGAGTATGAGAAAGTGAAAACAATCAAGCAAGCGAGCCAATAATCTTCTATTACGACCGTGTCTTGAGATGAGATGAAACATAATAATGAGAAGCAGCCGTTATTCGAGTATCTGTGCTAGTTATGTCTCGACACAGCTAATAGATATCGTTAAAATACCCTCGGGGATGACATCATGAGAATGTTTCATTTGCATTTTTTCGTGACGAGCGTTTGTGTTTTGTTGTGAAAACACAAACCATTCCTGCCCGTCAGCAGAACGAGTGTGCCGCTGATAAAGAGAGTGTGAGTGTTTTCGGGGAGATAGAGAGAAGGAAGGGACGATACGGCGAAAACGTATCCACGCAATCAATATTCTTGAAGAGAATTTATTGTATATCTGTGTTGTACGCAACCCCCTGACATTCAGGTGTCATCAGTGTTTAGTCACTCAATGAAATATCATCGTTGCCAAGCACTGCCAAGCACGGCGATCATTTTCCAACGACTGAGCACCTGATGAAACGTTTTGGCTTTGGTCGTGGCCATTCATTCCCATTTCACGAATCAAAAGAAAAAAAATATTCTTCCATACTACCGCCGACGCTTGTGTGTGTGTGTGTGTGTGACGTGAACACTTTTCAAGCTGATGTACACAAATTCCAGTAGTGTGCGTCAGAGTGATTTTTACCGTTAAAACCGAAGCAAAACATAACAAAGAAAAAAGAAGTAAGAACAGCTACGACAACGGAAAGCAACAAAAAAAAATTAGAAAAAAAAGACTAACTGTACTTTAAGTAAAAACGATAAGCACCGAAGAAAGGAAAACCGGACTGTGAAGACAGGACGAATAATGCAAAAGGCGGCAATGATAACATCACATCAGTCGTAAATAAATATTCCACTCCGTCTTTTCGCTTATTTCAATGAAAAATGAAGGGAAAAGCAACAATACAACTACACTAGCAGTAACAATCATATCATTTCATTCGTTTTCTTGCAAACAAATAAGTGCAACAGAAATAGAAAGAATAAAAAGAAATCACATCTATGTGTAGCAAAAAAACTAACGTGCAGCAGAGTGAAGCGAAAAACTGCAACGCAACGAAATTGGTTGGTGTGAATAAAGGAAAATAAAGCGAGCGAGAAGCAAAAACAAAACACCATACAACACAATATAGAAAAGAAAAGAATAGAAGACAAGTGCAATAACAATAACAACCGCTGAAGTACAAGTGGAAAGAAGTCAGTGCACATAGGATTTCTCATACGGAATCGAGAAACAATACAACTCTTGTAACAAAAGCCAGTTTTATTCAACAAAATCGTGTGATGGAGACGACAACAACGAGAAAAAACAACAACACTTAGACAATCGCGTTTGCAGAAATAAAAAAAAAAACGAGAAAGAGAGAGAGCGAGAGCGAGAGCGAGAGCGAGAGAGAGATCGAGAAGCAGCGACACAGCAAACAATCCATGCCATTAGACGATTTGTTATTTTATTCATTTTGAAGGTGTTGTTTCCTCGTTCATTTCCATTCTTCGTGTTATTATTTTTTTTCTCTTCATTTCTCTCGTTGTCTTACCATTCTCTGATCCTTTGGAAGAATAACAAACACCGAATAAAAGTCGGAAATATTTGTAAATGTGTTGTGTGCACCACGGGTCGTTGCGTACTTTTTCCACGGGATTGTTGTATGTTCATTGTGCGCATTTTTCGCAGATAGATCCTTTTTTGTCTATCGAACACTAGAGCAGGAAATCCAAACCAAGCCACTACACCGGCAGGAAAACAGAACAACAAGAGTATAAAACGCACAACAAAGTAGCACATAAGAAAATACCAAAACTCAACGGTATACAGTTACTTGTGAAACTACGGAAAATACAACAAAGAAAGAAAGAAAAAAAAAAACGAAGGAAAAACTTGTAACGAAATACACTCGAAAATACGCACATTGCAAAATTCGGAACGAAGAGAGTAAGCTCACAACCGGAAAACAGAAAAACAAAAAGACAGAAAGCAAGAGAGAAAGGGAGGAATGCATGAAATTCGTTGAGTGTTTTGAAAGAATGAAAAATTAACAAACACAACAGATCAACGGCCATAGATCTGTATTGTACCATTGACAATCAAGAGTAATTTAGTGAAATAAAAACAAAGGCCACGACGACAACACATACACCCAAAAAAATAAAATAGCATTTCCTACATCTCACTGAAAGATGTACCAAGATTTCTGCAAAATTTACGCGAAGGGTTCTATGTCAAACGTCAAGAACACGAACAATTCGTGAAGAATTTACGAGAGGAAGAAGCAGAAAAAAGCGCGCGAGAGAGAGATACAGAGAGAATAAGTTGGAGAATAAATACACTTAATCTATTAAACAAACGATAAATATAAATCACGTCGAATAAAAGCGTGAATCAGGAACAGAAGAGAAAAAACGAAGAGAAGAATTTATATAGATACATGTTAAAAAAAATGGCATACATTAGCACACGGTGTCATCGACAACGGCAAAAACCCATCCAAATCATGTTCGCAAATAATTTAGTGGAAACTGTGTCGATTTTAATCGTTCGGTGGCTATTTTATTCATGCGTTTTAAGTTTACTGTTAAATACCAATTGTGATCTGACTGTGGTGCGAGCATCATACTCCGAAGCGGATGACCTTTTGAACGAACTGGATCGGCCAAGTAAGTACAACCACTTTTCATTTGATTATTTTTTTTATCCTGTTGGCGATCTACATTTGGCGACCAAACGAATAGCTTTCAAACGACCGAACTTTTATGGCAAAAACGATTGTTAAAATTAAGCGGTTGGTTTCAGTTTGACTCGTGAGTGGTTGTTCAACAATTGCAACAACGACACAGGAAGAAAAAAAACTCGTCTGGACTCGCAGGTTGAATTGAACTTTAGCGAACCAATTAATTGTAAATGTTTTTGTGTATCATTGCGAATCCAATGTATGTCGTCTCGAACAGTTCTCGCTCTATTCATTAGCATCCAAAAACTATTCACTCAATGGTGCTGCCGGCGGCAGTGGGTATAGCCCGAATTCGAATCCATGGATTAAGCGGAAAATAGGTCGAGTGCCAGTACTTGAGCAACGAATAATGAATAGCTAATCGTTTAAATCGAGAAAAAGAAACATGAGCTTATTTTCTTCATCGTCTTGAAAACTGTACGGCATTTTCCCATTGAATGCACCAAATTCCCCATGTTCCAAATGCGCCGCCTGAAACGAGGCCAAGAAAAACATAGTAAACTTGCTCAACCAAGGGACACTTTCATATGCGAACAACAATTTTACGAAATCTCCATGCAATTTTCCATCATCATTATTATATATAGATGGAAAAACAAAAGCAATGAAAAACAAGTGGAAACAAGAAAAACAGGACATCACAAGACAAGGAAAAACATTAAATAAAATACACGAACAGACGAAGAACTTCCTAAATATAAACACATGGTTAAGTTTAACATGTTGATCTAACCGATTATCATGGAATATACGAAAAGTTTTTTAGTTTAACTTCAAACTGAGTGGGAGCGTGGAAAAGCGAGAGAGAGAGAGGGCAAGAGAGTATGAGTGCAAAACAATAAAAACCAAGCGAATGGTGGAACAAATGAAATGAATGGTCCCGACCAAAAAGAGTGCCGATGATTCGGATATGGGAAGTTGCGAGTAAAGAGAGAGAAATATTGTAGGAAAAAAAAAAAGTTCGCGAAGGAAAAACTCAAGCGATTGCGAGTGGGAAAATGAGAGATAGAAACGAAAATGCATCGAAAGATAGACGATTATAGTAAAAAATTACACAGCCAGAGAGGAACAACTAACTAACAAGCGAACGCTTTCGAAGATAGAAGAACATAGACGAACGCAAATGGTAGAGAGAGAAAAATGTATGTGTGTGTTGCAAAAATAAATATTCCAATAAAACAGTTTGAACTGGGAAAATTATAAACGTTTTGCCTTTAAGTGCTACATAGCACTGCAAGTGGGTAAACTATCTTCTCGATGCAAAACGAAATAAAGTCATATCCGTCGCGTAATATTTTCATTCGGATCATGTGCATGGAGAGAAACGCTTTCGTGCCGTTCTTTCTTTCTCTCTTTCTCTCCATATGGAGTTAGTCATTCTCTGCATGTATGCGATACAAACAGAGAGAGAGAGAGAGAAAAAATAATCGAAAACTTGAATTTTTGCCAAAACGGCGAACGGAAGACTCAAATTCAAAGCGCTTATTGAACGCGCTTCGTTCTCGTTTAGTAGAAAGTGATTCCGTTGTGTAGCAACTTAATGAGCAATGCTCGTATTAATTAAATTAATTGAGAACACAACCATTTGCCATATTTTTCATGACATTTTCTCTGCTGTTTGTTTTTATCATCATTTTCATTGCTTCACGGCAAATTCGATGTTTAATATTGTACAATTTCACTCAGTCACTTGTTTCTTTCTCTTTCATATTCTAAAAAGATTATGTGCTAAGATGTTTTAGTTTGATAAATATACATACAAACACTGACGTTGGCACGCACTCGCATACACAAAACACAAAGTGTACGCACAACGTACAGCACTGGGGAATTCGGAACAATGAAAACTTTCAATTGTTTTAGTTGCAAAGGAATAGTAGTGCTTATAATTATGACTTCACTTGCCAACCAAAAAAGCAACTATATAAAGGATTTTTTAGCCATGCAATTGGTGGCAGCAGTGACGTTGATGACGGCGGATATTTAGAAAGAAGAAATATGTGCTCTTGCGTCGCATATATGCTGATTCGTGGAAAATTGTTCAGCAATTATATTAATTTTTGATAGAAAGCACAATACGAGCAACGGCAATGAGAAAGAAAATTCGATATATTTTCTATTGTGAAGTTTTAAAGTATGTTTGAAAGACGCAAAATTAAATTTATTAAGAGCTGAATTTAATTACTGCATGCTAAAGTTTTGTGTGTGCATAGTGAGAGATGTGCTTGCTCTTTTCTTCTTACTCTTTTTTATTTCAAATGCTAGTCAAATGATTTTGTGCGTGCGTACGATCGTTCATTTGACTGTTGCTTGCAGCGCAGCGCCGGTTGTATGGTTGAAAATATGCAAATCAGGCAACAGTATCTTGCAATAACTTTATACAAATATTTGACTTTAAATTTTTGGCCCGAATAATGCCAATCGTACAATTTTTGCTCGTCGTCGACGTTGTCGTCATCGCGTTCATTGCATAATGAGACGAAATACGTCTAATTCAGCCAAGAGCACTTTTAATACAAGCACTTTCAAGCGTATTTTGAAATGGAAAAGAATAACCGTAGAATCCGAACAACTTACTCTCTTACTCTCACAATTTAATTGGTAATCTGTTGAATTTCCGTTTTGGATTGATTGTTTGACTATTGATGATTGTTTGCATTTGGAAACAGCGGCAGCAACAATGGCAACATCAGTAGCGGTAGACAATAAGAAACATGTTATAATTTTCGATATCCTACCGATAGGATAGACGATGGATAACTTTGTTCAATGGTATGTAACAATTGGCTGGTTGAATGTCTATTTTGATGGCATTTTGAACCGGATATTAACATTTAAAACCAATGAATATACATTCAAAATTGGAAATGCTTGTAGCTACACTGTCGTATCAAAACCTCCCTATATTCTTGCATCGAATTTTGAATAAAATTACATTACGACGATGGCAACAATTTATCCGGCCATGTTTGAAATTCAATTAATATGAGATGAACGAACGAACAAATAATGCACTGACAAATCGAATCAATATCTCTAACTCTATCCAATGGGCTTATGTCAGAGGGTTGATACACTCAATCTTACCTGCTTTTCAATTTGCAGTCAAAATCATAAAGGCTTTTAATTAAACACAGTACAATCTTTCGCCTAATACGGATGTCATCTCACGTATCATACAGTATTTTGTGCCTACCATAAATTTTTTTTCTGCTCCCTTTCGAAGCAATTTTAAATGTTGAATGTTGTGGCAATAAATCATATTGTTTGCCCGTTTCTGAACATTTATCCAATGACATTTGAGGTGAGTACACAAAATGAAGACACCAGAAATGTGTGGCTTCAGGGTTAAAAATCTTTCAGCATACATGCTTTGTTATTCGATTTCCAAATTTTCCGAGCTAAATTGAAAAATAATTTTCTTTATTCCTTGCCGATATGGAAACTCATTAAATATTTTCTGTTTACATTTTGATGTTCATGTCCTAGTGAACGATTCTTAGATGTCACCTGTATTCCACATGTGCACACAATGCTAAAGTGGTTTAGCTGGGCTCTATTCACCAGCTCATATCATATCCATGGTTGAAAATGCTCTGTAACATGGTTTCTCATCTAAATGCGACAAATTCCGGTGTTATGTGTAACGATAGTAAAAAGTAGTCCAAATACATTTGTGCTGATAACTGGAACAACATGTCAAAAAATTGTTTGCTGTTACAAGTGAATTCATTGATTAGGATAGAGTGTAACAGAAACATGAATATGAAGCAACTGCAACCCGATAAACACGTCCACTTCATCAAACTGACAACTGACACTGGCTGTAGGATTACCATTCACCGCAGGTACAACAAAATGTTATTCAAATTGGATATGAATATGTATGATCATGATTTAATAAGACCATGCCTTCAAAACTTGTCCAAAACACAAATGCCACAACCGATGCAACTGACTTTGGCGCGGTGGAATCGGTTATGCAAAACTGAACAGCACACACTCACTCAAACACCAAACCATTTCGTACAAATCATTTCTGTCATCGGCAATGGCTTATGCTCAAAAATTGTTGGTTTGTTTGAAGAAAAAATAACAACGAATTTATCTCAATGTATTTTTTTTCTATTTTGTTTAAGTTCTTCTTCGGAATTATCTTCAACATAATTTCGAATGGATAGTGTAGTTGTATCGTGTGTTCGTTTGCGCGCGTATAATACAGTACATTATTTGAATAACCAACACCAGAACAACGCAGAAGTTGTCTTGTATTAAAATCTGTGCTAAAGCTCTTCGAATGAACCTGTGTCGATTCCGGGCCCCAGTCACTATCTCAAGCGACTGTATTGCAAATAGCAAAATACACATACATACACGGTTCAATTCGATTCACATTCACATATTGATTTATGACGCACAAACTGTGCAAATGGCAATGCGAACTTTGATCTGACCTGCTCAATGTCACATATTCACGGGGTTGTTTGTATTCACATCATACTGAGGAAATATTTCATTCACGGCAAGAGACCAATTCAAATCATGAAGCAATTTATCATTCGTTTGCAACACCCAAAAAGCCAACACACTCACAAACAAACAAACATCTTTTGGTCGATGTTAAGGAGCAGCGGCATCAGTCGTCGTTCTCTATCTCACTTTCTCACCTCACACCACTCATGGTTGGCTATTAAAAATTGAAACGTTTGTGAAAAATCTCTTTTATTTTGCATCGATGTTGAAATTGGACTATGCATCAAGTTTATCATTCGCACCTTTATACACGAATTAAACATCATTCTTTGGAGGCTCCCACCGTATTTGTGAAAATACACAATGACTGTTGAAGTGAATCTCGTTGAACTCACCCATTCAAGCATTTCGATGTGGTTGAGAAATTGTGTCTGCTCTTTTTTTTTCATTGAG